CGGGAGGGGGGAGAGCTATTGGAAATCCAGGCTTCACAAACCACCTCAAGAATGTCTTATCTTCTGACATGTTCTTGGGGTGGGGGTGGGGGTCAGTGAACAGTCACCCGCATTGTGCTCTGGGAAATCCAGAGCTGGTCATTTGTCAGAGGGTACCTTCCCGCTCTACATAGTGATAAACGGGTGAGTTGACTCCTCTCTGAAGAGCAGAGAATGGAAATGGGAATCGCAGAGTTGTCTGGGGTGACAAAGGGAATAAGGAGAGCTTTGTGATCTGAGCCAGTCCATTCCCGTGTGGTTAGCAGGGTCAGTTCCAGTCACAGCCCGACAGGAGAAATTAAACGAGGAGTCCTTCCCAGGTGGCGTTCCTGTGGTCTCCGAGGATGGGTGTTGAGAACAGGTTTAAAGTATTTTATTTTGCATCGTAAGTCATTTTCAGCATCCAAGCGGGGGAAAGGACGAAGAAAAAGGAAAACAAATTCTGGTTCTTCCTCCCAGAGAGTCGCTGGCTGCTGGATTATGTAACCAGGGATTATGCAATTCGTGGACAAGCGTATTCTCTCTCTTCCTGTCCTGAGCTGACCCTCCTCTCTCCGGCTTTCTCCGTGTGTGCCCTTCCACGGCCGAGGAATAAGCAAGTTTTTTGTAGATTTCACTCGAGTCTGCGATTGCTTATTCAAATCAGTTGCCTTCGGAAAGTGTGATGGAGCCTCATACAAACAGTGGTTCAAGGGCAGGAATGGAGGAAGGCTGCCTCTCCGGGGAAGACGTTCATGCAATCAGGGGGTGAACTTAAGCCTGGAAACAGCCCGCACATGCACCGCTGCGAAGTGCCTTTGAGGGCATTCTTGTACCCTCTGGCCACACTGAGGGCTGGGGAAGATGAGGCGCTGGAATTCCAGGGCTGTCAGGAGCCAGGCCAGCTCAGCCTGGGGACCCCGGGCCCTCGGTCACAGATATGGGAGTCTGTCCTCCACCCAGCAACTGAGACAGAATGTAAAACGCTCAGGTTTCTTTCTTGGAGAGTGAGATTCCTGGGCTGAAAGCCCAGTTTTGAATTAAAAAAAAAAAAAAAATGGGTTTGAATTTTCTACATGTTTTTAGCTGTATGAAAGGCTTTGCTGGTTGCTAACTAGCTACCTTGACCGAAAACAGACCAAACGTGTGGGTCTGAGAACAAAGTGAGTCAGGCCTGTCCCCGCTCAGCTTCCCGTGAGACCAAGTGAGACCACAGCCGAGGAGAGGAGATCAGCGTCGCCGAGGGCTTTCTCTTTCCTGTAACGGAGGCTTCACCTTCCCACTGAGGGAGGCACTGTCACCATGGGTAACAGGGCTCTTCCAAGGCCAGGGAGGCATGGTTCCCACACAGGACCCCTTGCTGTGAAAGGAGCCAGAGCCGACTCCCACCTGTCCCCTGGCCTGGAGAGCAGGGGGAATGGCCAGCACCGTGTTTCCGGGCCGGATCCATGTTGGTTTGGCCTGAAAAGGAGTAGAAACATTCCTTTGTCCCAACAAGGTGACATTTCTCAAGGCCAAGTTCACTGACACCTGCTGATCACACACCCAATGGCCACACTGCAGAACACAGTGAAGGCCCCTCCACCAGCATTGGGCAGGTGAGGGCAGGGGCAGTGGGGACAAGACTCACATGATGGACACAAAAGAAGCCTGGGGAGGCGGGACAACGCAGAGGTCAAAAGGGAGGGATTGGGACAGGCCCTTTGTGTGTGCCTTTGGTGGTTCCTCTCACCTCATTCTGAACACTCTTTAAAAAATAATAATAATAAATAAAAGTTATTGATTTCAGAGAGGAAGGGAGAGGGAAAAGGAGAGCAAGATAGACACATTAATGGTGAGGGAGAATCATTGACTGGCTGCCTCCTGCACAATTAGGGATCAAGCCCACAATCAGGGCATATGCCTTGACTGGGAATTGAACTTGAAACTCAACCATGCTGGCCAGGCAATGCCCTCAGTTCTGAACAAATGCTCGTGCAAATTCAGCAATCCTCAAATCCAATCCTCCGGGCAAGTCTCACCCTTTATCACCAATCAAACGTGACCCAAGCTGGACTCTCAATGAGTATTCAGAAAGAGCCTTCAGTGGCAGGTCTTTACTACCCATTTCTCTCTGCAGCTGCTTTTCCAAGCCATCAGTCCCCAAAATAAACTTGCTCTTTTGCTGCGAACCAAATTTCTCTTGACAGACAGAATATGCACACCCAGTGACCTTTCTGGATTTGAAGAATTCTTTGGATACATTATTTATTAGCTCCCAGGAGCTGACGGGATTATTAGATGTCAAGAAGGCCAAAGAAGACATCGCTAAAAGAAACTTCTGTTCGTGAGTCTGGTGTCTCTGAAACCATTCTTTCCATTAATCACACATCACATCGTGTGTGTGTGTGTGTGTGTGTGTGTGTGTATGAGAGAGGGGGTGAGTGTGCTGACTCCAGGAGCTTTGGATCCTATATTTCAGCCTGAGACTATGCAATGGCCTCACTGGGTAACAATAATTTGGCCTTGCTTTTACTGTTTCTACAAAGTCTAGTTCAGTCAAGAAGGCAAAGGGCAAACCCTAAAACTTACTGTTGCAAACGATGCCTTTTCCAAAATGGTTTGCGTCTGCTCACTCATGAGAAAATCGTGCCGACCTGGTGAGGTAGCAAGATCACGAGTGGCGGCAACATTGTCGCTTGTGGCGACAAAGTCAGAGAGTGATCCAGGGCCCTGGCAGCCTCCACAGCTAACGGTGACGGGGAGAGCTGGCGCCCAGGTCTGCTGCTTTCCTCTCTCTTACTAACCAAAGTTTTAAAAGTAGTTTTATTTTTCACTTTCATGCAGAGAAAATGAGAGAACAAAACCACCCTTAGTGCTACCACTCCAACACAATGATGTCTTCACATCATTATGTGGTTTTCCAGGTCAAAGGGGAAATTTTCTGACCCAGAAAGTGAGTGAGTTCTCTAAGCGCATAGTGTAGTGGATAACCTGCACTTAGCCATCTGGTATTAGCTGGACTGTCTCCCAGATCCCAGGGTGCATTGGGGAGACAGGTGGCTGCCCACACTGTGAACTGAGCGGCACCAAAAACAGCCATTTGTGCCCTCTTTCTCCTTCTGGGGCCCATTGTGAAGTCACTTCTTAGGATTAAGTAACTACATCTCCAGCAGGCAGATTCCTATTCAATGCAATGAGGCCTCCTGGAATGAGTAGGTCATTAGCCCCATTAACACACAGGAGTTTCTCAGAATAATGGGCACAGAACGAGGCTCTGAGGGACAAGGATATGGGGTGAGTACCTGTTAAAGGAGCGTTAGGAGACTTTTCAAAACTGTAACGGGGGTGGGAGGTCTCTCTGGTAGATGTGGGAAGGATGGTCAAAGCTCATTCTGCTGCTGCTGCTATTATTGCCACAGCTGCCACATTCGGAAGATGGGGCCACCCCTATTTGTCCAATCTTATTTCCGATAAGGATTTAATCTCCAAAATTTACAGGGAACTCATACAACTTAACAAAAAGAAGATAAACAATCCAATCAAAAATGGGCAAAGGATCTAAATACACTTTTTAAAAAATATATATTTTATTGATTTTGTACAGAGAGGAAGGGAGAGAGATACAGAATTAGAAAACATGGATAAGAAAGAGTCATCGATCAGCTGCCTCTTGCATACCCCCTACTGGGGATATGCCTGCAATAAGGTACATGCCCTTGACCGGAATCGAACCCAGGACCCTTCAGTCCACAGGCTGACACTCTATCCACTGAGCCAAACCAGCTTCGGCTAAATACACTTTTTGAAAGAGGACATACAGAAGGCCAAGAGACATATGAAAACGTGCTCAAAATCACTAATCATCCGACAAAATGTCACCATCAAAACGACACCATCTCACACCTGTCAGAATGGATATCATCAACAAATCAACAAATGACAAGTGCTGGCGAGAACATGGATAAAAAGGAACCCTCTTGTATTGCTGGTGGGAATGCAGACTGGTGCAGCCACTATGAAAAAACAGTATTGCATATCCTCAAAAAATTAAAAATGGAACCCTCATTTGACCCAGTAATCTCACTTCTAGGAATCCCAAGAAATCAGAAACACCAATCAGAAAGGATATATCCACCTCTGTGTTCATAGCAGCACAATTTACAATAGCTAAGACTTGAAAACAGCTTAATGACGAGTGTTTTTTAAAAAACCCACAAACTGTGGTACATCTACACAATGGAATACTAGGCTGCAGTAAAAAAGAAAGAACACTTACCTTTTGCAACAGCATGGATGGACCTGGAGAGCATTATGCTAAGCGAAATAAGCCAGTCAGAGAAAGACAAGTATCACATGAACTCACTCATTTGTGGTATATAATGAACAGCATAAACTGATGAACAAAAATAGAGCCAGAGTCATAGAAGCATCAAACAGACTGTCCAACCTAAGAGGGACGGCAGGAGAGAGGGTAGGGCTTAGAGATCAATCGAAGGACTTGTATGCATGCATATGAGCATAACCAATGGACACAGACAGTAGGGGGGTGAGGGCATGTGCTGAGGGTGGGAGTGGTTGGGGAGAGGTCAATGGGAGGAAAAAGAGACTTATGTAATACTTTAAACAATAAAGAACTTAAATAAATTTTAAAAATAAACTTAGCTCTTTCTGGGGGGAAAAAAGGAAAATTGATCATCTTATCAAAGCAGAGGCAGGGAGAACAGAGTGATTAGCTCTGACACTTACAATGGCATGGAGACTGGAGCTTTTTCATAAGAAAAACTTTCCTAGAATGCATCCTCTTCCCCCAGATTTTTATCTTACATCTCATTGGCCAGTTATGTCACATGATCATACTCAACCAATTGCTGGCAAGGAGAGGGAGATTACCATGATTGCCTTAGAGTTTAGACCAGGGGTCTTCAAACTTCTCTCATTATGAGAATCACCTGGTGGAGGTGTTAAAACACAGATTCCTGATAGCACTTCTTATAGTTGGGATCCGGGAATCTGTGTTTTAACAACTCCACCAGGTGATTCTCATAATGAGAGAAGTTTGAAGACCCCTGGTTAGACTAACCAGCATTCACCTGTGTGGGAGGACAGGGAACAAGGTATGCTGCAGTAAAGTAATGACTTCCCTTTCTTGTTCCAAAAAAATCTCCCTTCAGTGACACCTGCCATTTAACAATATGATAATCAATAGGATTAAGTGGCAAAGTTGAAGAAAAAAACGCACAAAAACAAAACAAAGTAACCCCACAGTAAATGAAGGATGCAAAAAGGAAGCCTGACATACAATCAAGTACAAAAAAAAACAAAACAAAACCCTGCATCCTCTAGGCCAGTGGTCGGCAAACTCATTAGTCCACAGAGCCAAATATTAACAGTACAACAATTGAAATTTCTTTTGAGAGCCAACTTTCTAAAACTTAAACTTCTTCTAACGCCACTTCTTCAAAATAGACTCACCCAGGCCGTGCTATTTTGTGGAAGAGCCACACCCAAGGGGCCAAAGAGCCGCAGTTTGCCGACCACGATTCTAGGCTTGCAAAGGGTGGGCCATGAACATGGGTGGATTTAATAGCCAATGCCGGGAATTTTAGTAACAGGTTGCAAATGGTGGTTGTGGGCCAAATGTGTCCCAGGAATGCGTTCTGTTTGGGCCTTTCCGGTATCTTGTGTTTATTTTTCAGTTGGTTTGTTTATTTTTTATTTGTTTATTGTTCAGTTGTTTGGCTGCCAACCTTAAAATATTGGGCTATTTCATTTTGTTTGGAAGTATTTCTAACTTGCCTTAAAAAAAAAAAAAAAATCAGCCTGTTCTTTCACCTGGCAGCCATCCGTGGAACTGATGGGCTGTCCCCTGTGAGGCACACAGGTGTTTTCCATGTGGCTGATGGTCCATGTCCCTCACCCACTACCTGCACTGCCAAGGGCGTCTGAGTGGGTGACCCTGGGATAGCTTACCAAGTCCCTGGAATAGTTCACCTCAGGAGAACATGGGTGTCCCCATCTTTCTTCTTCCTTTTTCCTTTTCTTTTTTGTTTTTTACTTCAGAGAGGAAGGAAGAGGGAGAGAGAGATAGAAACATCAATGATGAGAGAGAATCATTGATAGGCTGCCTCCTGCACGCCCCCTACTGGGGGTCCAGCCCGCAACCCAGGCATGTGCCCTTGGCCAGAATTGAACCTGGGACCCTTCAGTCTGCAGGCTGATGCTCTATCCACTGAGCCAAGCCGGGTAGGGCGAGAGAGAGTTATTGATCGGCTGCCTCCTACACACCTCACACTGGGATTCGAGCCTGCAACCCAGGCATGTGCCCTGACCGGGAATCAAACCATGACCTCCTGGTTCATAGGTTGACGCTCCACCACTGAGCCATGCCAACCGGGCCCGTGTCCCAATCTTAAGCCTGGACCTCAACAAATGACCTTTTTGGGGGGTGGTGAACACCCACCCTCTCCTCACTGTAGACCCCCTGAAGGCTCTCCCAGGATGCCTTCTTATTAAGATTTTCTACACAAACCAGAGGGCAAAGACAGAGGGAGTGGGCACGTGGGCAGATGGAGGGGGGGAGGGCGTGGAGGTCTCCCACCACGTAGGCGTGACTTCCCACGAGAAAGTTTCCAAAGGTGCTTCGCACGAGGGGAGGGCTGCAGATCCTCCCGAGGGAGACTGCGCCCCAACAGCTGTGAGCGCAGAGAGACTAAGAAAGGGTTTGGACTCCAGGCCTGGGTGTGGAGGAGGATTCTCACTCTGAGGACGGCTTTACAACCTGTCGCTGTTTTTGCAGCCCCCATGTTTCACTCCACAGGCAGAGAGGTCTTGGGTGTCAAGAGCTGCTTTCTGCCTTCTGACTCAGCCTTTCACACAGCAGCCATCTGTCTTCCGGGACAGACATGCCCACCCTCTCCTCCGAGGGATGGAGAAATCCATTTGAGAACTTCTGTCACGTTTTTTTACTTAAACTGGGAAGCTCTCCCTCCAGAACCAGGTAGAGAGGTCTCGGAGCAGATGTGCACGCAGATGGGGCTTATCGGACTTCCTGTCCGGGCCGCCCACACGCTGCCAGCTCTCCGGAAAGGTTAGATAATGGGGGTGACTCAGGAAGCCAAGAATGTGAGTTATGTGACATGCCGCCGGATCTGGCCCATGTATGGTTATTGTTCAACCCATCACAGCAAGCCTGGAAATGGGAGGCCAGCTTGCTTTCGAAAACAGGGTTTTGCAACACATTTGTGTTGGTGAAATAGCATCCATTCATTTTTCTGGGGACAGAGACAAAGACAGAGAGAGAGAAACCTGAAGTGGTTATAAAGGCCACTCGGCTGCCCAGTAAGCAGCATCCACGACTGTTTAAGGTTTGTTCCTCCACACAGCTCTCTGCAGCCGAGCAGGGGGCAGGGGTCTGACACAGAGAAGGTTAGGCGGCAACTCCCAGCCAAGGTGCAAATACAAGACTCCCTTCCTAGGAGGACCATCCCTGAGCGTGGAGGGATTGTACCCAGCACTGGAGAGTGGGGTGGAGCACTCACCTGGAGAAGGGAGGAAGGAAGGCTCCCAAGACAGGGAGGACTTGGAGGAAATGAATGGAAGGTTCTGGGCACCAACCGTGGCAGTCACATCACGGGCCTCCACACGCGTGCCCTCCTGCATTGATTTGCCCGAGACACACTGTGGTGGCCCTGGATAAGCCCCCGTTGACACCAGTTTGCATTTTCTCTGTAGTAACTGCTCGTGCTTTATAACCGCTCTGTCATTGCTTGGCTTCCTGAAGCTCCGTCAACCAGCCAGGATCATACAGTCGTCATTGTTAACACAGAGGATCACTTTCTACCTGACTCTTAGTCCCTTGTTGGATCCCTCCCGTAACCCGTCGGAGGAGGGCTTTCGTTACTGTCTCCGCTTCTACTAATGAGGAAATGGAAGCACAACGCGATGTGGCAGCTTGCCAAAGTCACTCAGCTCCGTGGCAGAGCTGGTGTGCCACCAACGTGATGACACGGAGCAGGACGTGGGGGAGAGGGTGCCAGCAGGAGGTGCCTCCAGCACAGCTGCCCCCCTCCCCGTGCCCGCAGCCAGTCCCCAGAGCCGCTCTGCGGTCACACCGAGCAGGTTTGTCCATTCTGAGCACCAGCTACACGGCCGCTGGTCCCCTGCCTTCTTCAGCTTCTTTGCTTTCTTATTTTTTAAAGTAATTTTTTAATAGACATATTTTTTTTAGTGATTTCAGAGAGGAAGGGAGAAAGAGATAGAAACATCAATGATGGGAGAGAATCATTGATCAGCTGCCTCCTGCACGCCCCCTACTGGTATGTGCCCTTGACCGGAATGGAATCCAGGTCCCTTCCGGCCACAGGCTGACGCTCTATCCACTGAGCCAAACAGGCCAGGGCTTCAGCTTCTTTTCAGTAACTTCCTGGACTTTTCCTTCACCCCACCGTTTACACTAACGAGTTGCTAGGTCAATACTCTCCACTCCTCTCCTCCAGAGGGCATGGCCCTTTTAGAGTGACATGTGTGCTACAGCCTAGTGGTTAGGACCTAACCGGACCTGGGTTCGACACACAGCATTGCCTTTCGCTGTGTGTTTCCGGTTCCTTCGCTTCTTCGGGTCTCCCTGGCTTCCCACATCTACATAACGAGGCGCAGACTTGACCAGTGATTTTCAACATGGACAGAGGGGTGCAGGGGGTTCAAGACTCTTTCCAACGGTGTGGTCTAGGCTATTGGTGGTCACTTCCATCAAATTAGACCTGTCCCGGGAGGGGGGTCAGTGCTCTGCCTTCTAGATGACAGAAAGCAAGCCTGACAGGTCCTCCCCTCCCTTGCATCCCTCCCACATTGGAGTCGCTATGGAAGTCTCCTCCTGCTGCCAGGAGTGGTCACAGCTCTTCAGAGTGTGGGGTGGACAAGTCACCCACTGCTCCAGAGGATCCGTTAGGTCCCTGGCACTCCATGTGTCCCACGATTTTCACAAAACTCTGGTGTGAACAGCGAGGTCGCCACCCTGGGATTCCACCTGTGGAGCAAAGGAACGGAGGGTTAGCCTCAAAAGTTGTGGAACAGGTGAGGGAATGGGGTCACAGAATGTTTGTTTGTTTTTTTATTTTTTAAATGTTGTTGCTTTTTTTTTTTTAAATTGTTGACAATATTTCGGATGTCCCCCAACCCCTTCCCTCCTCCTGTCTCCTCCCAGTACCTGCCCCACCCCAGTCTACGGTCTGTGTCCATTGGTTATGCATATATGTACATAAGCTATTTAGTTAATTCTCTCCCTCCCCGCTCCTCCTTCCCCTCTGAGGCCTGTCAGTCTGCTCCATGCATCCATGCCTCTGGACCTGTATTGCTTGTTAGTTTATTTTGCTCATTAGATTCCACATAGAAGCGAGATGATGATGAGCTATTTGGCTTTTGCTGACTGGCTTATTTCTCAGCATAATGTTCTCCAGGTCCACCCGTGCTGTCTCAAAGGGTGAGAGCTCCTTCTTTTTCACAGCTGCATAGTATCCCACTGTATAACCATACCACAGCTTTTTGTGTTAACAGAGTCATCTGCATGTGCCCTGGGCTGCCTGAGGGAGGAGCGGGAGCCACTTTTCCAGCCGGTAGTGAGGTCTTTAGACTCCTGGGCAGCCAAAGCCCCTCCTTGGACAGGTGTCTGCAGAGGGACCTGACTCCTCTCCCACCACCAAGGGAGTCTGTCTCCTGGTCCCCACTGCTGAGGGTTCAGCCAGCATAGGCATCTAGTGGGGTCTACTGAGCCTAGAATCGGGCTGGATGGGGAGCAGGGAAAGAGAGGGCAAAATCCACGTGGGCTTTGGGCCCTGCTCTCAGGGGGCTGTCAGGCAGCCTCCTCGCCCCTGCACAACTCATAGGAGGGGAAGGCAAAGCCTGGGGGATGAACAGGAAGCCAGGCCCATGCTCAGGTGCTCACTGCGAGGAGTTGCCGGGTGCAGGGATGATGAGCGCCTGGAGCTGCGCTCACAGGAAGGAGTGAGGAACAG